TATGGGTGTTGGTTGACCACTCCTGCTTGTGTTTTTGAATGAAAAAGGCTGTGACTGCTGTGTTTTGTGGTGAACTCAGTGCTACTGGTTTGTGTTAGGCATGCTATGGAATATGCTGTTGGGACTCTTGGAGGAGTTACACAGTCTTAGGTGCCTAAATGGTCACACGAGGTTTTTGTGGATAATCCACTTTGACTAAATTCCAACATAGTTGCTCTCTCTGGGCATTTTTACACGTGCTCCAGGGGCATGTGTGTAGTCTAAAAAATTTCTGCCTTAGTTTTGAGCTGACATCTGTGTACCATGTCATAGCACACAAAGATTGGGCCCCATCTTTGTGTGCTGAATCCATCCCACAGGCAATAGTTTGAGCACCACTGGGGTAAAGGAAGAGAGTTCCTCTGAAGTCAGTGTTGTCACGCCAGAATGTAATCAGTTTGACCCAAAGCTTAATAAAGTGAATGATATTTACTTCAGCAAGCTGTGTCTAGAGAATGAGGCTCTTTGTATGTAGCAGCACAGCACTAGGGGTGCAACAATAAAGATTTTTGGGCCAATACCAATAGCCAATTATTAATGAGCCATATTGGCTGATACCACTCCAATTGCTGATATGCAGCCCAGTAACTTGGAGAGCAGCTGGTAAGTCTATTGTGGGGAAGGGATGAGAAAGTGTGTGTGTGGGCAGATCAAGGCCCCCAGAGTAAGGGATGGAGTGGGGCTGGGGCAGATGCTGCCCAGCCTGGGATGGGGGCGGGGCAGCATGGCACAGGACCGAGCCACAAGCAGTTGATCTGGGGGATGCAGGGAGGGGAGGCAGCTCCCACCACTGTGCACACCTCCAGGAGAGGCATGGGGGTCACATGTCCCCCAGATCTATGGGTGGTACCAGGGCGGGCTGCTGCTGTAGGCTGTGGCTGGGGGTGGTCATAGGCCTTTCCCAGTGGGGGGCGTTGGGCTGGGACTGCACTCAGGGTGGGCAGCAGTGGCAGTGGGAGGCAGAGTTTGGGAGGGCTACAAAAAATTCTGGGAGTGCAGCCTGGTTCCAAACCCCCTGATGAGAAGAGCCTACACTGGCCCCAGCCTGCAGTGGCAGCCCACCCTCACCCTGTGTGCAGATCCAGTAGGCATGTGCCCCCGTGCCTCCCACAGAGGTGCGCATAGAGGCAGGAGCCACCCCCAGACAAACTGCTTGTTGCATGATCCTGCACCCCTTCCCAACCCTGGCTAGGCAGCGCCTGCCCCAGCCCCAGCTCCACTCCTTCCCTCACTGTGGGGGCCTCGATCTGTCCCCCCCAACACACTTACCAGCTGGACGCTGCTCTCCACACCGCTGGACTGGCGCATGCACACGGCATTTATCAGCAACATTCTTGGCCACATCAGTCAAAAAAAGGCAATTGCTGATAATGTCAGTTTTCCTTTTATTGATCCCGATACAATATGGACTGATGTATCGGTGCACCTCTACACAACACAGTCTTGAACTATGTCATATTGGTTTAGTCCCATTGTAAACAGGAGGGTACACTCTTCCTATTGATTAATCAGCACTATTTCCTGTAGCGCAGCACAACTTTTCCTGGTAAGTCTCTCATCCAGTTACTAAACGAGATAGTAACTTATTTAGTTTACAAGATATGATATTATCAGAGTGTATGGCTTCATATGTGAGGCACTGCTAAATTGAAAAATTTAGGAAGAATTTTGGGTGTGTATGAGCTTCAGGATTGGGCCCCTTTTAGCAATAAAACAACAGTATCATAAAAGGAGCAATTATTATTATGTCTCATACAATGAAAGAAAGTTCTGGTGCCTTTGCTATTCTTTTATGTTCTTAGTTTCTGTGGAGCAGTGTTTCTCATCCCATGGGTCACAACCCAAAAGTGGGTCCCAATAGTTTATGAAAGGGTCGTGAACAGACTTAAAAAAATTGATCATATTTTGCATACCTTTTTCAAAAAAAAGATGCTGCTTGTGCTTCACCGTATATTAAAACGGCATACTAATAAATGCGGATCCAGGTTTTTTGTTTGCCAGGGAAAAATGCAGATTTTCTCCTTTTAACAAAGAAAATCACAGAAGGAAACCATGGGTTTCCATTTGCAGGCTGGCAGAGTTCTAGCCTGCAAGAGGCTGCTTGGGGCTGGGGGGAGAGGGAGGAGGGCAATCAGGTAAGGAGCACCACATGCCCATGTGCACACACACATGCATGTGGCAGCCAGGCAGCGTGGAACAACTTCTTCAGCTCCTCGTAAGTAAGTCTGTGGCACGGGAGATGGGGCGTGGGAGGGACACAGACAATGCATTGCAAGGGCAGGAGGGGCACAGGTGATGCATTGGGAAGGCATGGGAGTGCATGTGCCCCCCCCAGATTTGCACACCGACAGCAGGCATGGGGCTGCAGCCTGGCTGGATCAGCACAGGCAGAAGCTGCCTCTGTGGCCCAGCAGGTAGGACCTGGTGCAGGAAGGCAAGACTTGTTGCTCCCACCACCAAGACTCCTGTACCCACTGTGCTACCAGCAGCACAAGGAATAATGGATGGGGGGGGAGGGCTGCGCTGCCCCTGCCTCTTGCTACCAGCGGCTTGCATGCTGGTCCACAGCTCTACCCCGCCACCATGGCCCGGCTGCCGCTGCTGCTGTCACGCCCCTCCAGGCAGCACTGGTGGCCTAAGGGGAGCAGCAACAGTGGCAGCTGGGCCATGGAGATGGGGTAGAGGCACAGTCCAGCGTGTAAGCAGCTGATGGTGGGAGGAGGTGAGGCTAGCACCGCTCCCCGCTTGCCCATCCTTTACTCCTCGCAATGCTAGCAGCAGGGCTGGTGTAGGGTCCTGGCAGCAGTGACAGCAGCAAATCTCGCTGCCCCACTCTGCCTTTCCATACCAGGTCTCACCTGCTGGTCCATGGAGGTAGCTCCTGCCTATGGTGGTCTGGCCAGGCTGCAGCCCCATGCTTGCTGTGGGTGCATAAATCTAGGGGGGGCCATGTATACCCCCATACCCTGCCCACTAGCCCTCCTACCTCACATACTGGAGGGCTGGGTCCTGGGGGCAGGGGGCAGGGGTTTTGGAGTGAGGGGCACCAGCAGGGCTGGGGGGATGGGTGGGGAGCTGTACTGTCCTGTACTGGAAGTGAGGAACTGATCACTTCTGAACATTGAGCATTCTCCTGAGTAATAGACTGATTTTGAAAAGGCCAGTTTGTGCTTTCAGTAGTTCAGAAGTGGGAATTAGGTTACTTCTTCCTGCAGGCTGTGCCTATGTCCTGCCCAGTCCCTAATGGAAGAAGAATTTAACAGTGCCCACATACCTCCAGCGCTTCCTAGGCCATGCATTACATCTGGTTCCTTCTTTGATGGTTTGTTTCCATGTGAGGCCAGTGGTATCACACTACGGGGTTATAGCTGGGTTGGCCATATTGCTTTTTGTGCTCCTCTACAGTGTCACTCACTTCTAAACAGCTTACTTCTCATTGAAAGCAAGACCAGACCATCTTGTCTCATCCCAGTATGGTTTGACACTTAAATGCCTATTCTTCATAAAGGTACATCAGCAACTACTGGTTATCTTCTATTTGTCAGCCAATTCCTGTGAAACAATGATGACTACTTTTCAATAGGAGATCTCTAAGTCCTTAACAGAAAATGCTGAACAATCCTGATTGAACTCTTCCAATTCTTCCTCTGGTTAGGAGGAAGCATTTCTGATTCTACCTTGTGGTTTTAAACTGGTTTTACTTGGTGGCAGAGCCCAACTGTACAGCTTATATCTTTTCCTTCTTAGTCTGATAGTTATTATATCTGTTTCTGTTACATAAAGAACCCCATGTTTGTGCACTACACTCTAATTAAAGGCTGATATCCAGCTGTAGTAGTTTACATTTCTGTAACAGCTTTTATGGTATTGTTGCATGGAGTTTGCTCTGTTTCCAGACAGCCAGAGTTTAGAGCAGTTAAAGCTTTTGAAGGAGATTACCATAATTACAAGTGATCATCATTCAGTGCTCCCCCCCCCCCCCCCCCCCATTTCTCCCCCTTGCGCAGCATCACAAGGCAAACTATAGAAAGGCAATTCAGTGAAAGTGAACATAATTTAGTTGAGAAAACAATTGTTTATGGAATGGTGCTTGAAATGTAGTGCCCCAGAAGTCTAACAGTTCTGGTTACTTGCTTGCCTGTCAGTGTTAAGTTGTTGTTCTCTTTTCATGAAACAGGAGTAAGTTGAAACTACTTTTGCTATTTATTTATTATTGTAATTTCTATGTTGTTTTCTTATTATTGCTTTAATTAGGATTCCATTCTTGTCTTATTTATATTTAGGTACCAATGGTCTTCAATATTCTGCTTTCAGAAATTAGTTACATAAAAATAAGATTTTTTTTCTCATTCCCTATCATCTTGTACCACTATGTATAAACATTTTCAGAGTAGAAATCTTAATAGTGAGGAAGGGGTTAAAACCAAGAAATACTGGTATGTCCTGGATAGATGAATCCATTTTCCCACTAATTAATAGCATACTTATAACAATGGAAAGCCATTAAAACATGAAGGTATGTTTTGTGAATCACATTTATCAACCACTGTACAAGCTGAAGTTTCATTATTTATTCTGTATTTTTAACGTAATATATGGATTTTTTTCATTCAAATGTAAGAAGTAGCAACAAAAACATATTTTTATCTCCATTTAAAAATATATTCATGCAAAAAGGAAAATGTAATAAGAACAGTACATTTTTATGTCAACAGTAACCTTTATATGGTGCTCTTCAGATAAAACTGTGAATATTGGAAAAGAAAAAAAGAAAGATAAGTGGCTCCCTTATTCATCTTAGTCCAAAATCTATTTTGCCCACCGCTGGTTGTTGGCATTGTTTGATGATATGACACAGTAACAGAGTATCAGATTACCAGAAAAGGAGATTCCCAATTTAATAGTTACTTGCAGAAATCAAAAGTATTTTTTCCTTTATCTCAATGTCTCAAAAATAAGTAGCTGTTAAATTTCAAATCATGTAGTCTTCCTGATTTATCATCATATCATGGATGCACTTAGCTGTCTAGCATCAGGGAATCCAATAAGTCCTGTCACATAAGAAGAAAAGAGAAAATCCTATTGGATAATGGTTTACATTTTCCCCTACAGTGATTTATTTCTGTCACAAGACTTAATTTTATCACAAGGCAGATGCTCCATCTATATCAATGCAATACATCCCTGCACTCATTTGTTTCCCAGAAAAAATGTACCTGATGTATTTTCAGATGCATTTGGCTTATTTAGTATATAGAGTGATTAGTCTATGTTTAATCACGTGTGTAATTTCCAGTTTTCATAATTTTCAAGCATAATAAAGTGAGTCCTATGTAAAGAAGCATAATATTAAATTGCACAGAGTAGCAAGAGGTGCAGGTGGTGTTAACATTTTCAATCTCTAGTACATGTCATGGCAGAGCATGTCAAACGGAATAAGCAGAGCTTGCTCAAGTTATCAGGTGATTCTCCTGATGAGAATGTGCCAAACTTTGTCTTGAATTAGCGTCATTGACATTATCCTGGAAAAAATTGTCTTTGCACTTTTGTTTGTTTTCTCCTTTGAAATCTGCACCAGTTTCCATGTATTTTGTTTAAAATGCAGAAAGCCTAGCCACAGTATGCTTTAATGACAAGCTTGTGTCCTATCAACACTTCCCTCCCTCCAGTCTGCCACTTAATACAGATTATACTCTTCTGAATAATCATCTTTATTCTGAGGGGCAGCTGAGGTCCACAGGTTGGGATCCTCCGCCAACTGTCATTATACTGTGGGAGCTGGCTGCATCTGCTTATGCACATTGCTTTTCCACAGCCACTCTGAAAAAGCAGAACTATTTCCCTCAGACGTAAAGAGGTCCCAGTGAAAGACTGTCAGATTGCTGAACTTTTCAATCAGCTGTAGATATATGTGATTCCCGTTTTGACATTCTGCCTGGAGGACCATCTATTGTCAGCTGCCATTGACAAGTGACAGCAGAGCTGTGACTTCCAGGAAGTTTATTTTCTTTT